CGTTGTTGAGGCAATAAATTATTGAAGAAGAAAATATTCTAGCCCTAATACATGCATGAATTTCTCTGGCGAATATTTCAGTCAAAAGTATGACTTCTAAACATTAAAACAATCGAATCACGTCCATGGAAAGTACGTCCTCCATGTTTCGCCGCTATATATTGGCGAAATGGAACCATTTGTTATGATGTCTCTCCAACTAGCTGGAGCTAACCATTGAATCAGAAGCGCAATGTTTACGAGGAATCCCAAAGCTTTCTTGTTATTGTTTGGATGTTTACTCCAGACCTACTTTTCACTTGGAAAACAAGGAAGAACGAAAGAACTAATACTTCGAGGAACAAAGTCCGATGGATCTCAAAAAAGTACCATGAAAATGAATATCAGCCAAAATAGGATTCAAGAGAAATATGCTGGCAAGTTATTCGGCCGTAAAAATACTGCGAAAATGGAAATTCAACGATCTGTTATAGGACTGCACTGGAATAAAATCAAACACGGAAGGTCCCATAGTGGGAGGCTTATGGAAGGAATAGGAAGACGACAAGTAGGTTACAGAGTTTCTGACTGTGATAAGCCCCGCTAAATTTTCCGCCAGTCTTCAGGGCTTTACTTCCGATCACCGATTCGCTAACTCAGAAAAAAAAAACTATCGAGAAAGGAGAAGAACATGCAAGGCGCTCTCAGCTTTGTGGGAAAAGGTCATCTTCAACCTATTTTTTTTTCAACAATATAAATTATGAGCTCGAGATTTCTATCACGTGATAGTCAGTGAGGGCGAGGCGCGAATCAACCATCGTACATAAAAATCGTGAGCTAATAATTTAATCGTTCTTATAATAAATCTACTAGTATTTGTTTAAAATTAAGCAACAAGATAGGTTAATACTTTCATTTCATTTCTTTCACCGACAAAAGTACAATGTTAGGTCACTCACCCTTCTCACTGTCTATCACGGAATAGAAAGCGTACGTAGCCAATTAGATGCAAACAATTTCATAAAACGCAAGTAGATTTACACTAATACCTAAAAGCTAAACGCAGAGACGGATTTTAGAGTCTTAAGCGTTAAACCTTGGAGCTTTAGAAATTCTTTTATTTTGAGAGGAGATACTTAGTGATAATCTTACTACTTGGTGTCGTATTCTAGATGATAGCGCCTGGATATTACCAAGCTGAGTGTTCTGAGAAAAAGCCTTGCAAAGAAGGAATGTACTGTAACGTGCTCTACTGTGAAAAATGTCATAAACTTAACGTAGGCTGCAACAGCAAGGACCAGTGTTGTAAGGGATTGGTCTGTACTTTTGGAAGATGTGAGAAGAAGGCAGAAGGGGATCCAGGTGAGGCAATCAAATATTTCGAAAGATCTCTCCATCCTTTTTTGGTGTTTTTGACAATTTTGCGAGCTCATGACAACGTGTGCTTTTTGCAACTGGTGGTCATATCGTTTGTAGTGCTGACCTGGTGCTTGCTATGACCATTATCTAAGAAAGCTACAAATATAAAGTAAATAAATCTTATTAGACGTTTTGGTGTGTAGTAACGTTAAGTATTTTTACGAGTTGTGCCTTATTTTGACGAGCCTGTAAGGCGAATCAAAATACAAACAACTCTTGAAAATACTGAGCGATACTGCACACCAAAACGTCTAATAAGTTTTCATTATCCAATTGCTCGTTTCTTATGAGGCGGGAAAAGTAAAGCAGATAGGGAAGCGTAGCGCGCGAAGCCGACTGGTTAAACAGGTTTTTTTACATTACAAAATAACCAACTGGCCAAATAACCGTACAATATCGCATGATATCTGTACTCTATTCGCACGTTATTTGCACTCTACTTTGTACCGTTGGACGATCTGACCTTCCTCAGTAACAACTGCAAAGATCACAACAGTTGCTGATTTAAACTCGATCAGAAATACCCCATTGGTTACCTATAAATATGCGGATCGTCATTTGCTCTGAATGCTTATATGTGAAGCACCTAGCGTCCTGCACGTCTCGCTACAAGAACTTTCAAGCCGACCTCTGTCTATGCCATCGACTGCACCAAAGGACCAGAAGTTATCGAAGGAGCCTCTTATTCGGTTGGTCACTCACAGAAAACTTCGGATATCGTTTCTTTAGAAATAAATTTTGGGGAGCGTTTTTGTCTGAATGTGTATATCATTGTTATAATTACCATCCTAATTGCTGTCTCTCAAGGTAGTCTACTGGAATTAAAGACTATAGCAATCAAAATGTCTTTTTCCCCCTAATATTATATTTTACGTTTTGAGATGTTGATTTCAGGCACATTCTGTGAGAAGGACAGCGATTGTAAAGAGGCGTGTTGCGTTTTGGAACCAACAATCAACTCCCACTTGCCGATATGTAAGCCAACCTTGGAGGAGTACCATCAGTGCGCGGCCATTTTGTATCGAAAAATATGGGTAGGAGAAAAGCCTGACTGTGGACCGTGTAAGCCTGGGCTCGAATGCGCTCAAAAAGGGTGAGTGCAATAAATTAAACCAATATAATAATAATGAATAACAATAATGACGATCAGAAATGATTTAACTTGGTAACTGATAGCGATAAGAATAACAGAAAAAATTAACGAGAGGAGAAACTCTCCCTAAATACTTTCTAAGGTCATCACGGGTTTATCCATAGTAACCAAAATTGATTTTAAATGGCTGAATTAATCATTATTTCTCTTTGTTAAACAGTGTGTTTGGAAGTCATGAAGTGTGTATGAAGCCAGACTAAGTGATAATCAAGTTCAGGAGACTACTTAAGAAGAAACTTGCTTGGTAAAGTCTACTTCGTCCCAGAACCGAATCAGTTACTCAGTGCTCTGAGTAGGGAGGAGGAGACTTCAACAAAGCGTCAGCTGGTTATTTGTCTCTCATTTCCTTAGTTGAAAGTGAATATATTTCATAAGAAAATAAAATTTTTTTAGACACTGACTTCAAGCATAATCGCTGTCCAGTTTCATCAATTTTATTCTCCAAATACTTCTACGTAAACATTACAAATTATTCTTCCATTTACAGACTTTTAAAAGCTCGTTGTCAGATTTCTCTTCTATTAAGTAGGTAACGTATTTATTCACGTAAGCTGCATAGATAAAGAGGTTTCGAAGTATATTACATCATGTCTGCCTTGCCTTCGGACACATAATAGCAAAATATTGTAGTTAGGTGCTAAACTATTAGAACAAACCATAAATGAATAAAGAGGGTAAGTTTCTAAAGAAACTATGGTGCTACGTCGGTGGGGGTATAACAAGATAATCTGGTAATATCACTTAGCTGTGTTGATAACGTAAATTGGCCACCCTAAAGAGTTTCTAAATCGAGCTGACGTTTTGAACGTTAGCCCTTCGTCAGAGCAAATAGAAAAATTGTTATATATATGTGATTTATACTCTATGCAGGAAATGGAGCTAGGCTATTGGTGGGAACATGGTAAAGAGAAGAACAGAAATAAATTGGTTGAATGAAAAGCGTTCATTGATACTCGTGGGTAGTGCCGATTTCAAAGATAAGTTTTTGATCTGGAGTTTGCGGCTTTCCGAACGCCTAGATAGAGGCAAAGGCCGTAGACTGTCATATCCTGCTTAGAATGATTTGGTAGATGAAAATATGTAGCGACTCCTTTCTACGTCGCAAAGTTTTTCTCGGAATCAGATCGTTTATGTTGCCTTCCAGTTTCACTGATGTGTACCTTACATTCAGGTGTAAGAGCTTTAAGTTATGGCAAGAGATTATGAAGATTATTTATAATCTTTTCGGCAAAATAATGTTTTTCACGACACAACATGTACAGTGAAATTAGCTTTTCCTGTAAGAAAGCAGTTATTTGGTTCCAGGGATCTGTCAAATTTATTGCTTAGCAAGTGGGCGTCTTGCTTTTTACGTTAGTGACATTTTAAAATTCATTATTTGCTTCACTACAAATGAAGTTTCTTGGATGTCAACTCCCCATCACTGCTTGCCTTAAAGCCAACAAATGGTGCATTGAAGCTCAGAAAGATGTCATGTCAGGCGTTTTCCATTCCAAATTTCCCACACTGAGTAGTTCCAATTCCACCAACTGCTTGTCCCAGGTAATGAAATCACGAAATCACAGTATTCTCCAAGCAGATTTATTCTCTAATGTTTCCTCCCGTTACTTTTCTTTGTATTGTATATCTTTTCCTAACTTATAGGGTATAATATAAAGTCATCGTAATTTGCTGTGTGGACCATAAACAATCTGGTACTTGTACTCTCTTTGACGTGGGCATTTGTATGAGAAATGTGTAGCATAAAATGCCGCAACAAATATAACCTGTAGTTCTTAGGCAGGACAAAACGTTTCGTAGGTGTTACGCAATGCTGCATTTTGGAAAAAGGAGGCATGAAAAAGAAGCAGTCTAAGACGTGAACTGTCGCATCATAGGAAAAAACTGTAGTTTGCAAGTGTATTCTAACTAGTATTACCTAGCTCGAAAAAATCTGCTACTGGGAAATGATGGCTTTAGGCGAGTGTTTCAATCTTGGTGATACATTATCACAGTGATTGTAAGTATCGCACTGTAATCCTATTCCAATGTATTGTTCTAAAGGTCAAAGATCATTCAGTATTGTTGTATTCACATCATACTTAGATTAAAAAAAAACAAAAAAACAAAAAAGGAAATCGCACTATTTGTAGAAGAAGCCCATACAGATTACTAGTTTGGCATCATCGACGCCTGGACATGTTGAAGTGAATCGATGGCGGTTCATTTGAGCGCTCCAGAACTTCTCCTGCAACAGTCAATCTGCTTTTTTCTTCTTTCGCTTGGTTGGCTGCAGCTCAAGCTGTTTTGGAGTTCTGTATGCCACAACGGTAGATTGACAAATTATCTAGAGGTACCTTAGGCACCTTTCGTTGTATTGCGCCCCTTTGTTAGCCGCTGACCAATAGCAAGGGTAATTGTTCTTGCTATCGGTCAGCGGCTACCGCCTTTAATAGGAGACTATAAATTAGCCGCAAGGAAGTGAAAAAGTCAAGCTCGAGGTTTTGCTGCCACTGTATTTGAAAATGAAACTTAAAAGCTTTGCAGTTTTTGTAGCGATTGGCTTTTCGATTGCTTTTGTTTCTACAGTGGTTTATTTGATATCATCTGAAAGGGATCGCAGGAAAAAGGTGCGTTGTAAAAGTGTCTACTGTTTGTTTTGGACGGGGGGTGTGTGATGTCTTGCGGGATTTATCGTGCTTTCACTGTTAGTCATTTTGTTTGGCTACTGCCTGTTCGCGTGTTTGTGGTCACTTGAGAATATGTATCTATACCACTGCTGAATGTCAGAATCTCAGTACTCCTTGATCATCAGTGCATTTCCTACAAATAGGTATGAAACTTACTCACGGATTTCTCTTTCACTGTAAGATTACTTCCGGGGCACACAGGAACAAATTACATATTATCATTTTTAACCTTTATTATGCCATTTCTTGGTAATTCTGGATTTTATTACTATTAATGCTTTTCTTTCAGAATGAAGAAGATGATTACGATCGAGAAACTCTAAACTTCCCATTTTTACAAGATGCCAAAACCATTGAGTTTATTATGAATTCTAAAACCATGTTCATAATGAGAGGTTTACCTGGAAGTGGAAAATCAGAAATAGCACGAAATATAAAGCAGGTGTATGGTAATATGGCTGTGATCTGCTCAGCAGATGACTTAAGGTTGAATGAACAAGGGGAATATATTTGGAAGATGGAGGAATATGAGGAAACACACTTAAAATGTAACAAAAAAGCAAGCAGAACCTGTGAAGATGGGATTCCAGTGGTTGTTATAGGTAAGTGTTGAGGATAGGAATAAGATCATGTCATGAAATTCACTTGTAGGAGGGCGTAAAATTGCACCCAGTACACTGGTGCCAATGCGACTAAATTTTTCACTTTGGCGACCAAATCCTGAAAATTAGTCGCCAAATTGGTGACTAGAATGCTTCATCATAACCTTACTTAAAGATAAAGTGAATTAAATTGGACATTTAAGTGTCCAATTTGTAGCACGTTAAAGATCTTTTTACTTACTTAAGTTTGGAGGGTCTATCTAGAACGCTGACAGCATTAAAAAAAGGTTTTATTTGTCTTTAAAAATGGTGACCAACTTTTTTTTAATTGGCTACCACTTTGAAAAATTTAGGAGCCAAGTGGCTATCAGAAAAAAAATTAATTTTACACCCTGTGTAGGAAGAACTGTAATGCATGGAATAATGAGATGAGTCAATAATTGAGAGCAACTTCTCCATGTTGAAGTTTATTTTAGAGGTATTTAAGGTTAAATGTTAAACCTCCTTCCCCCATATTAACTTCTTTTGAGTCCTTAGAAGAGGTTATTCAACTGTTTGTGGGACAGAAGAGATTCTGTTGTAGGGTTGACTAGTGAAATTTTGGCCAGACCCCCAGTCAAAGATACTTAAAGACAAGGAACTTTAAAACATCTTTAAACATTTTTATAGGAAAGGCATTTGATAAGATCCTCAAGAATTTGATGAAGATCCTCCAAGTATCCCTTCAAGATCCTTGAAAAGATCCTAGAAAAGTTCTTTGCAAGGGATCCCTCAAGATCTTGAAAGTAAAAATGAGGATATTTCAAAGATCTTTAAAGGATCCTTTCAAGAATTTTTTACTAAGATCTTTGCTGGGATCCACATGGATTTTATCAGGATCCTACAAAGATCCTTGTAAAGATCTTTTTTTTTAGTCGTGATATATTATTTCCGCAATTTTAAAAAAGTGTTGAGACTGATCATTATTATAAAGAATGTTTAAAAAAATCCTTAAATATTTTCAGCAAAATGCTAGAGTTTCCCTTGCAACATCCTAAATGGTCCTGAAAGATTGTTGAGGATTTTGAAAGAACTAAAAAGTTCTTTCAATTGGAAGTTTGTTAAAGATCTGGGAAGAATTGTAAAGAAATATGAAGATGTTGGAAAGAATGTTGAAGAACATAAAATATATTGGTAAGAATTTGAAAGATTCTAAACAATCTTTGCAGGAATATTGAAGATCTTAACAAGAAATGTGACAATACTCAAGATCTAAGCAAGATCTTGAAGGATCTTCTAATTTATTGTTAAGATCTTCAAGAATCTTTTGTTTTATTGCTAAGATCAGTATAGGGATATTCGAAATTCTTAGCAAGATCGTTTGAAGATTCTTGAAGATCTGGATCTTTCATTTTCCTGCCAAGATCAGGAAAAATGAAAGATCCTTTAAGATCTTGGTAAGAAAATGAAAAATCCTTGAAGATCTTGGCAAGAAAATGAAAGATCCTTTAAGATCTCAACAAGAATTTTGAAGATCCTCAAAGATTTTTTAAAGATCTTGAAGATCTTTAGTAGGATCCTCAAAGATCCTCTGAAGATCTTTCAGGATTCTTATATATCCTTCATATTTAAAGTTTATGAATAGTGTGTTGCATTTTTTAAATGAATCTTTAAAGAAACTTCATTGACAAGTTTGTTTTACAATTTTTATTTGCAATATATTGCAGATAACACCAACACTGACTCCAGGAAGCTGTCCAAATACATCACTATTGCACATAATACTGGTTACCATGTGGTATTGGTGGAACCCAGAACATGGTGGAAATACAACATTACTGAACTAGTACTGAGGAACCAACACAGTGTAAATGAGGATACTCTGAGGGATCAAATGTCAAAGTTTAAGCAATTTTTTGCTGTATATTATGGATGGTTTCCATCAGAAGAGAAATTAAGGACTTTGAAAGACTACATGCTGCAGATTTTGAGAGACTGCATAGAAAAAATCCCTTCATTCAGAGATCAGCTTACCAAGGAGAAGTATGAAGATGCTCAAGGCAAGGTTATTTATTTAGAATTTTTATAATTTGAACAGATAATTTTAATTTTAATTTAAAAAAATTTACCTCCTTTTAAATAAAACATTCTTGAAAGTATTTTTATTGTACTTTGAGTATCAGTGAGTGACATACATGCAAATTCTTTAAGTTGTCAGGCTGGTTCATTTAATTACTGGAATCTAGGGATTTAAAAATATTTTACTTGTTGATGTGTAATGTACCACTAACCTCCTCCCTTGTGGCAAGTATTTATTACTTCTCATTTTTTTCTTTGCTCTGCACTTGTGACAAATGTCTAATGAGTTAGATCTTTCTTTACTTGATTACTGTGCTAGCAATCAACTGGTCATCTTTTTTTATCTATCCATGCTCACAAACAAAAGGCTTTAGAAGTTGTTGATATTGGAAGGGTGCAGAATGCTCACAACTTGCATTACTGAACATCTGTGAACCCAGAGTGTGGTAGAAGCTTAATACTAATGCGCTCAGTGAATGCTCAACTTGTCTTTTCAGATTTCTCAACAACTTTGACAGAAGTTACATGTGCTGCATTATCACTGTCATGTCTAGAAAAACAGCCTTATCGCCTCCATATAACTTCTTTTTTTGACCAAGGAATATTTGGTCATAAATCAAGTGACTATGTATCTTTGTCTGCTGTGCAAGAAGCTCTTGGATCTGTAACAACATTGACAGTCATTGCATGGACAATCACACCAAGAGCTTTAACAGCAAGGGTCAAATTAAGCCCATCACAGTTAAAGTTGTGGAGAAACTTGGATTCAGGTGCTTCAGGAGAGGAAGGACATAACTTCAGATTCAAAGTAAATGCATATGAATTTGTTAGTTGTTTTCCTAATAGCCCTTTTCCAATTGAAATTACCCTTAGCCTTGTTTGTTTTCGTTGTAAAGTAGAATTCCAATCATGTACAAATTGAAGTTAATGCATAGTAAGATATATGAGTGTTGAAAGTAGTCTGGTATTGCATTGGTTTTGCTTTACTTTGCTCTGTGATTGGTTCAGGAAACTTGCAGCACTCTCTTAACTGATCAGATGCAAAACTAACACTGATCATGACTTGGTTACCCTCACTTTAGGCAGTTTTTTTGTATTTACTTTAAGTTCTCATTGGCTCTTCAGAGTTTTAACCCTTCTTCTGATTTGCTATAATTGTAATTACTTTCAATTGGTTTTGGTTTTACGACACTCAATCCAAAAGTGCTCTTTGATGTTCAGATGATGAATGTGCTACACTCAGCAGAAGCATTTCAGCTAACTCAATCTGGTCATTCATTTTGCAAATTAAAGAATTTGCATGCCATACACATCATTTATCAAAATATGATTTGTTACTTAACTTACAATTACCACTTGCTTTTCCATCAATTTGTTGTCATTAACTTCTTGTAAATGGCACCCTTTTGACAAGAGAATGCTTCATATAGATCCTTTAGCTTCCAAGATCTCAATAATTAATTATTGGATGGGGTTAAGCATGATATCATAAATTATCAATGCCGAGGTCTGAGTTACCTGCTGAAGCTTAGGTTGAAGCAGATAACACAGACATGAGGTTTGATAATTCATGATATTATGTGAAAACAGAATTCAATGATTATTTTATTATACATCATTGAAACAAATGGACAAGGGGCTTGGAAACTAGGTTTACTGATAACCTAAAATCTACTGCAGATATTGGGTTGTCAAGTCATCTTCACACACTTTTGTATAATGACTATATGCTCTTGACCAACAAGGGTTTCCATAGTAAGTCTTATGTATAATTCTAAATTTCTTACTTATCTGGCTCAGGGAATTGATTGTTCTATTGGTTGACATATTTTGCTTAGAGTGATATATTCCTTCCATCATATTGCCTTACTGCTCAGTGAGATTTTGATATTGTCAGGAGAACTTTTCAGACCTTACTCCAAGAAGTGAAAGGATCAAGAGAGAATTATCAGCATGGCCCTGTTAAAACATAGACTTTGTGTGTCACTTTTGTACCATAACTTAGTCTCCTTTCTAGGAGTGGTCTGTTTTTACCTAAATAGAAACTCCAGATATTGAAGGCAACCAAAAATGTGCCTCCCTATAGTTTTACTTTCCGTATAGTTTTAATTTTCCTTTCCACCATAAAGATTACTTGCCTTTTGTTTTTTCAGGAAGCTGCAGCCTGTGTATCTGATACTGAAACATCTGCCTTTATTCCTGTTTCATATGCTAACCTGGCTATCAAACCAACAGTCGGTGTTGGAGACACAGCCCACATCACTCTCTCCTTGCAGAGAGACACAAGGCCTATTCAAGGGCGACATGACATGTGTGAGCTTGTTAGGCTGGAAATGGCCAATCAGGGTTACTTGGAGTATGCAGTCACTAAGGGTCTGGCCCGTGACTATGGTGATGGACATTGGGCTGTCTATTTAAACGAACCTATTTACATTGATGCACTTTTCACAGGGTTTTATGGTTTCTGATCTTGTCTAAGAATCCTTTAATGCTTTAATTCCACTGATTCACAACTGCGGTACCATGTCTTGCCCTAAATTGAACCAAAACTGATTCCCTTTGGGTTTGCTCAACGCAATCATTGTATTACCCCGGTATCTTAATTAACTCTAAAGAGAGATATGAACTCTTAAATGCTGCAAATTCACGGTGATTTTTTCCTGTAGGTTATGTTGTTTACAGATTTACCTTTAACAAGTTGAAACTCTCTTCCAGAATGTAAAATAATGCTCTTTTGAGACCATTCGTTTTCTTTTTTAGTGGCGCGAGCGTGTAGGAAAAATTTTACCCCTCATTATATTGGTTGTAAATTCGGTCGTTTCTTCCAATCCTCTTACTACTCATACTCTTGATTACCCGCACATCTAATGATTCCCTCTGACGATCCGAGATAATGGGGGGTTCATTTATTTTTTTACCTTTTTTCGCTAACTACCAAAAAAGAAGAAGAGGAGCAACAAGAAGTGGACGTATTTGATACATTATTTTGATACAGGGAACAGAAATCACTTTATTTATTGTTAGAAAAAGATAAAGAAAAAAATAATTCATCGAAAGATTAATCACATAATAGGTAATAAAAGTGAGAGTTAAACCTTATTTTGCCATCGCCATGTCTCTCTCTCTGTTTTTTTTTTTTTTCACTTCCTTCTTTTCCTTTTTCGTTTCCTTTTACTTTACGCCCCCGCCAATAGTCGGTTTGTTTGCAAATTCAAATCTAATTATGAGAATACATTCTTTTGCTAGCCGGCCCTTTTGAAAAACGCATTCATTCGTAAGTTATGAAGTCAAGGTTCGTTTTGTTATTTGTATATGAGAATTTTCAGTCAGTAAGAAAAACCTTAATTGTCACTCCTAGCCCTATTTTTACATTGATCTGCGATTAGGCATACTTTTTCAAAGAAGACGGCAACTGGGCTGGCAGAGTAAAAGATGCCAAACAGGAAAATACGATTCCTTCTTACTTTTTCTGCGGCCTTCGGCGCTTGGCGGTCCATAGCGACCTGTCGTGCATTTGTACTCTAGTGTCTGCCTCAGCAAAAAATTAACATGTTTATTTAAAAATTAGTCATACAATAAATACAAAATTATTATAAAGTACCATGATATCGTGCTATTTAAAAAGTCAGTGATCAATTTACTTTTCAGGCAAAATTTAAAAGTAGAAATCGATTTTGCAGTTTTAATCAGGAGTATTGCCAAGGTTGCTACAGATGTGCACTGTGCAGTCGTAAAATGTTCTCTGTCCGGCACTCGAGTTATACAAAGGGATGTTTAATAGTTGACCAGCTAGGGTAATACGCCGGGTTACCGCAATTCTTGTCGTGAATGATCACTGAGGAAAAGGGGTGGTTGACCTGACATTCATTAAATGCCATAACAGCGGCGCGGAAGAACGGTTATTCTCTAATTGGAAACCACGGTAAATCTGTTAGTGCGGGGTTATTTGATCAAACCACCTGGTTCGTGAAATAATGCGCGTGGCAAAGTTCTTGTTTGTAGTCTACAGATATTTTTGTACAAAATGAATCATTAAAGGTCTTGGAGAAGTTGACGCCAGGTTTACAGTCAGAGAAAAACAATTGTAACATTTGAATACATAACATATCTGGGATCACACAGTTTACCATAATTTTATCTACTGGGGTAATTTTGAGGATTAACGGAAAAGTAACTGAAAGTTGAAATTCATTAATACACTCTGCCCTGTGGTACTGAGAAATACAGGCAGTTGTGGGATGAGAGCTCAGCCAAAAGACGGCAAAATGGCCTGAAATCGCTACCAGAGAACGAGAATAGAACAAATAAAACTATCTTAAGGTTAGAGTTTATTTGCTCTACCATTCACGGAATAGAGCCTAAACTCTCTTACAAAACTTGATAACATTATCCCATCATGGAGAGCTTGGGCTTCCTGTGCACTTTCTTGTCATTTTTTCGCGCCCCCGCATTTTCGTTCTGACAACGGTTAAATATGCTGTCACCAGTAAACAGCGAAATTCACTCACGATCACTATCAAATTGTCGTACTCGGCATTTCAGACCATTCCATATGTCGCCGGTTTCACCGGTCTTTCCTGTCTCCCTCTTATCCCCAATGACAAGTACCAAAAGTAGCATAGCTTATCTTCGCAATTATTTTGCATATTTCCGATAAGTACCGATGATCTCCGAATCTCCGTGCCGAAAGTAAATAGACAACAAACAAGATGGCGGGTTATGGACCGCCGCCAGGACCTTATGTAGGCTTTCAGCCGAGTGTTCAGCCTATAGGATTTGAATTGCACCAACAGCCAGGCTATCCACCTCATGATAACGGACCTGGCTATCCAAACCCACCTTCGCAAGACATCTATCGTCCCACCACAAACGAGTACGCAAGCTACCCAAATCCTGCAACCCCGTCTTACCATCACCACGGTGGTGACGATTCCGATAACCTTCCACCTGTTGGCTTTGAAGGGATTTCTATGCGCCAAGATCCTGACGTTGCGACAGCGTCAGGTGTCAAAATCCATGAAAAGTCCAAGGAAAGTCCTGTACCTCCACCAGATTACAACCAGCCACTCGAGAGAGCCTCCCATCGCGTACCGTCAACTTCAGATGTAGAGCTCGAGGTTCGTACTTAATATGCGATTGTACTTGTATCTTATTAACAAAGAGCTTTATCAACTTGTGTATGCTGCTTTGTTGGGCTGATACCAAGCGGCCCTAATTTTGGTCTTGTTTTGTATTCGTAAGAATTTTGTAAGGAAGTTTTCGTTATCGATCTTCAGGTGTTTCTTGTTTCTTGTTTATTGATCTTCAATTTATTTCAGCCAAATTAGATTTGTCTAATATTCTGAAGAATTGATCAGTGTACTTTTGGCTTTAATGAAATTTAAGTCGCCGAGCCTTTTCCGCTCAGCATCTCCAGAAGCGGCCGTATTTTTCGCCGAGCATAGGAATCTCAACTGTTATATTATTTAAGGGCTTGGGATTTGAAATTTGTTTGATTGACGTTTTGGAACCCGGCCACTGACTTTGATTTTCAATCCATGTAGAAATTAACTGAGTGTCGTTCAACATGCCTTTTCAACATGTGTTTCTTGTTTCTCGTTTATTGATCTTCAATTTATTTCAGCCTAATTAGATTTGTCTAATATTCTGAGGAATTGATCAGTGTACTTTTGGCTTTAATGAAATTTAAGTTGCCGAGCTTTTCTCGTTCAGAATCTCCAGAAGCGGCCGTATTTTCGCCGAGCATAGGAATCTCTACTGTTATATTAGTTAAGGGCTTGGATTTTGAAATTTGTTCGATTGACGTTTTGGAACCCGGCCACTAACTTTAATTTTCAATCCATGTAGAAAATAACTAAGTGTCGTTCAACATGCTTACATGAAATGACCTCTCCAGTGTTAAAAAATTTGTTGATCTTTTATTTCTGGAACAGTTTTTGACAACTTGATATTTGTCAATGGCAACAAAATTCAATAACAAGAGGATCGCGATCGTTTTCATCACTGCTCAGTTTATGATCGGAGGAACTGCCTTTTATTGTACTCTGTTTGATTCCCTTCTAGAAAAATTGGCGACCAATATGCAAATAAGTGGTTCGGTGAGAAATAATCTTAACCCCTCTTTTCAGATAATTGAGGCAATCTGGTTGATCACATTTCGAAACAAGCTTTCAAATGATGATAAAAGCTCTTGAACATGTAACTCGATACACACTAATTCTTAGGACATGTAATTTGTAGCTTGAAGTGCATATTAAGAAGTTTTATTTCATTACCAGATAAAGCGGTATTATGCATCACTTTTGTGTTGGGAATAAATGTTAATTAATTTCAGTTGTGGCAACAAGGGGTTTTCCTATTATATTTTAGAATGACCTGCTTAAGTGTGATTTCTCTGTCTTTATGGTCTGTTATTTTCTTTAGCTCTCTACTAATGAGTGATTATTATTCAGTTATTTTTACTGAGCATAGTACTTTTTTAGTGTACTTTTTGATGCATGGTAAAGAATGTGTTTTGCAAATGTAGGTCTGACAGATGAACCAGTATTGTTAGTGGCAGAGTATTAAGCAGTCAGTTGTCGAAGTGCAGAATTTGTTACCCCTCAATTGCTATAGTTTTTACCTCTTTTAAGTGCTCATCACTGTTTAGTGGTTGATGGGTCACCTTTGAGGGAGTCACAATGGGCTGTTTGTATTGTCTTCCACCTGTATTGAATGATCACTGAAATAAGAACCACTTAAATAAAACTTAAAACAATCATTAAAATAAAATTTGATCAAATTGTTTTACCCTCAAAATCATTGTTAGTAGTACTTTTAAGCAAGTTTTTGTATATTAAGTGGTCAATTATGGCACAAGATGTGGTTTTTATATTTTTTTTTGTAAAATTACCCCTATTCTGTGGAACTGTATCAACCCTTTACTTCCTAGCATCAGTATCCATATTCTCCATACTATTCACTATACATTTCCCAAGGTGCTGACAAAGAGAATTTGTTTGATAATCAAGAGCTGCCCTAGTTGGTGATCATTTCCTCATGACCTCAATGTTTGACTCAAGCATGATATTGTAAGGAGAAATTAGATGCTAGTCATTACAGGTTAAAAGGTTAAGCAGTCAACCTGTATCAAGTGGTCACCCTGCCCATGGGTGACCACATAATACATGTTTGACTGTACACAGCTCATTCAGTTATTGGAAGTCTATTTCCAAATAAGATATTGAAGATAGAAAGATGAGAAATTATTAAACTCTTCTCCCCTCTCCCCCCATTTTTATAAATATTACTTATGAACCCTTTCACTCCCATGAGTGACCAAGACAGAATTTCTCCTTACAATATCAATACAATATCAACCAGATAAGTGATGAGAATAAAGAAAAATATCAATTTGGGGATAATCAGTGGATCCAAAATTAAGTTCTCTGAACTAACATTATAAGAATTATATGGTTGACAGTAAGGAGAATTACAAATTTGATTTACAAGTTAAAGGGTTAATAATAAACATATGGAATATGTTGCACACAGGCCTGTCTGTGTTAAACATTTCTTTTCTATATCTTGATATTTACTTGAAACTATCAGTTAAAATAAAAAAAGCAACAACATAAGTAAATAAATCATTGTGTTCTTTTGTCGTATATTAGTTCAAGTAGGTATATGACTGGTGATTGTATGGATACAAAAGGAGAAAGAAAATAGAAAGATCATTGCTAGCCCTAAGTTTGCAATAATGTTAACTGTATGAATAAATTATAAGTTTGAACTGCAATCAACTAGGTGACACGTTATACCTCACAATATGGTATTGGAAACATCTGTTTACAACCAAGCGATTAAATTGTCATGGCAATCTTTCCTGATGCTTTGTTATTCAAATTTGAAAAGATCTGTCTTTGGTTCTTGTGATTGTGATGAGCGATGTGTCTGCAAAGTGTTTAACAATAGTGAGAAGAAGTTCTTTGAAAATTTTCCTTTATTTTAAGGCTGTTTAAGGGGTATAATATACCTCATAAAAACACATTTTTATGATTTTTATCTATTTTGCATAGATGTAGACTGTACACTTAAACAAATGAAAGGTAGAAGTTTTTTTGTCAGTAATAGATGGAAATGTAAATATCTTTCTAATTCAGTATTCGGGTCTGACTTCAGATGAATTCTTGTGAATTTGTGGCTTGTGAAAACCAGATGGGAAAATCCACAACATTTAATGTACCAAGAACTGTAAGCTTGTTTTCTGTTTGCTAGTCTGAGATCTGATCCTTTTTGTCTGATTAATACATCAATGTGTAAGGTTCTCATAAGTGTAGATTGTTTGTGATTGTTTAAGATCATTTGACTGGACTCTAAAATTTATTGCCTGCCTTGATAAAGTTCTTGAAGGCTTGAATGATTGTTTTTATATGTTAATTTTCATAGGTTGCTCTGAATTTCAAGCTTTAAAACTTTCATCAAATAAAGGTTTCCCATAATTTGACAAGCTCCATAAAATGTCCTGCCTTGACTGCCTGTGTGACTATTTTTTCTCTGACTTCTTATGTTTATTTAAAGTGGTGTTTGTCAAACTTAGCTTATCAATATAAGATTTATCCTGAATTCGAAATAAACAACATTAAATATCTTATAATAATAGAATATTAACTGTGACTTGAACAACCTCGGACACAGGATTTCAGAACAATGCAAGAAGTCACTGTTTACTTATTGTTGTTGTTGTTTTTTTTTCAGAGAGGGAAGGATTCTGATACGCTGTTCTTTAAGGATGGGAAGAGAAGAGTTGGTGAGTGTACAGTGCACTTTAAATTAATTAGTTAACTTAAACAATTCCTTCAAATAATAATAATAGCATAATTTATTTAGAGGTTATTCTTGATGATAGTCCAATAGCAGAAAATATTTTACTGATTTACAGTATATGTACTGTACAATATCATGTAGTTGGAATCTATGCTTTTAGAAGTTTTGATCATGACTTTGGTGTTCATTTTATGTGCTCACTCACCTAACAATTCTAGAAATATAGTATAAAAAAGACAGCTTGAGTTTTTGTGGTGACCATTAACCCTTTAAGTCCCACTAAAATGACCTTGACAGAATTTCTCCTTACACTATCAGTACAATATCAAGCAGACCAGTAATGAGAATAAAGAAAAATATCAATTAGGGTATTACTGGTTGATCTATTTCCAAATTCTCCAAACTGTTATCATATGAATCATATGGTAGACAGTAAGAAGAATTACTGATTAAATTTTGGGAGTTATTAATTAAAGGGTCAACAATGTGTCAGTGACACTCACCTTAGTACACATGTGTTACTGACCTTTAAATTTTTCACTGTGACAGTATAGAATGCCCATACAAAATAGTGAGCAACATTGAAAGATTAGCTGTCTTTTGAAAAACAATTACACTTTTTCACATTTATCTCTGTATAGATTACATTCTGGCGTATGAAATTGATACAACCAAAGACAGGGAGTGGCAACAAAAAAGAGAAGAGAAACGAATTACATTTGAGCAGAATCTGGAAAGGGCTAATTTAGAATTGGAAGCAGAAGGCATTGAGGTACATTTCATTTTGTTAATTCACAACATATTCATTAACCTATTGATTCAGTTATTTTCCAAATTATTTCTCAATTCTTAAGGATCCATAGGTCAAAGATAGTGCTGCAGTACTTAATAATGTCACAACCTGTTTAAGTGGAGGGTAGTGATTTATAATTAATAGAGACATGTCACTTCAGTGATCTTTTTTATATCGAATTTTCAAGTATTCCAAGGGAATTTTAGGCAGTAATAAGCGGTTTGAGGTATATTTTATCAGTTACCACTTGAAAAAGAGAGAACTGTGACTTTTAAACCAGAATAAATCATTATGGTTTCAAATACTTCCATTTATGTTAAAGAAGTTATCATGCTTGTTAACTTGTTATTATCTGAGGCAATAAGAATGATGCTTTTTGTTGTGATTATTTCTATAGTTGTCCCAATTTTTTTATAACTTAAATTTTGCAAATTTGGGGTGAAAATGATAGAAACCCTTAATTAGTGTGCAGAAATCGATGACTTCCCAATTCTTCTTTTGATAATGCAGAAACTAAAAGCCTTTAACAAGGAACAAGGCCTTCAGATAAACACGTAATTAAACAGTTATGAGTGACCTTTCACTATTAACATTGTGGATAAGTGCTGAGTTGGATAAGTGCAATTGTTCCATGAAACTGTAATATATGTATGTGGACACTTGGATAATTTGCACCGTCATCCATGAGAGTGTTTCGTATCAGACCTGTCACAGACTGATTGACTATTTGCTTCTTTTTTTTCCCACCTTTTAAAGTAGTTAAAAGCAATTGGATAATAAACAACTCTTTCTTATTTTGGTGTGGAGTTTCACTGAGTAATTCTACTTGTTGTTTATATTTTGACTTGACCTATAGGCTCATCATTATTAAAATTACTGTTTATTAGAAATCAAGTAATGGAAAGACAGCTTTTATCAAGATCCATGCACCTTGGAAAGTCCTCATCCAAGGTGCTGAGGAGATGCTCATGAAGATGCCTATCAGGGTATGGATACATTTATGGTGTTTTCTCACACAAATACTGGATCTTGATTAAAAGTCAGCTTTAGTAAAAACCATATTTAACAATATACTGTCAGTGGTGTTAAATATATTTGATGTGTGTCTCAGCCAGTGTATTTGCAGTCAAGGAACCACAAGAGAAGACTTCTTAATGTTGGCAACCATTTTAATATCAATTATTCATAAATATTGGCTGCACCAGGCCACGTTTTAAATTGTGAGGGGGTTTTCATCAAGAAAATAATTAAAAACCTTTACAGTATGACTTCCCCTTTGATGACATTAAAAGCAGCAAATTAACTTGTATGTACATGTAACTGACAAGTTCACAGGGACAACAATATCTTGATTGTTTGCTTAAAATAAGGGGGCAATTACAGTACTGTAGGGAAATCTGCCAAAAACATTATTATAATAAAATTCTCAATGAATGTGTAGAACAATCTTTCCCAAACACTGGACATTCTGAAACAGTAATATTATTTTATATCAGGATGAAAACTGTTGTCAATGTCCTTGAATTGGGGAAAAAATATGAATATTGATGCAATTTTAATGTTCAATTTTTCTGACTGTAGAGCACTTGGATGTCAGATTAATTTCTGCTGTGTTATTGATAGGTTACTACTTGCAACAGCAAGCAATTAATCATTGAAGTTACTTGAAAGTGGTCTGTCAGTAATAAAAATTATATGTACTTGACAATTAAGTGCTTGAAATGAACACAACCTTTTCTGGCGGCAGGAGAATGACTTGGACACAAGAGATTGGACTGAGAGATGTTTTGATACCATTGGAATGCGTAATCCATTTGAACTCAGAGCTGAAGATCTTCCAGAGCAGCCAAACTACTTCACTTGTGCCTTTAGAAAAGACAAACTTGACAGGTACGTTTTCTTTGTTAACTATCAGAGGATTAAAGTGTGATTGAGATCAGGACTACAGCATATGAACAATAGAGTAATACCCACAATATTGCAATAGATCATGGCTACAAATTAAAGAGCTTGTCAATTGAGTGGTGAATGTGCTGTAAGCATACATGTGTAACAGTACTGTAAAAAGGATTTGTACACTGATGTTTTATGTTACAAATGGGAGTTGAAAGTTTGAATTACTTTTAATTTTGAATTGCTAGAAATCATTGCTGATACTGGTATGTATAGTTTAGGATGTGCAGATAATATGTTCTACTGATGTATAATTGAAAGAATATTAATTTCTTTCGGAGCATGTCTTTTAACAATAAGTTTATGTTTGAAACTTTAGTAGGTAACTGGGGTTTAAATGATTAAGTTTCCATTAATCTTCTATGATTAATAATATATATTATTTTTATATTTTGAATTTGTGAATTAATGATGAAATCAAATTTCTTTTTCATTATTCATAGGTTTCTTATTCCAGAAAACCAGGATGATTTCTTTACATGTGCTCAGCGGAGCAGAATTGTAAGTGATTCCTGTAACAGAGGATGTTTACTTTGAATTTAACTTTATCATTACAACATTACAAGTAATGATAGTTTTACAGTCATGTATGTTATGTAGTTCCTGCTATGGTAGATCTTTAACTCACTGAACATGCAATGACCAAGTGATATATTCACCTTTGCCTGATTTATAAATAGTGCACTCCGGTAACACATCTCAGACAGAGATGGCAAAACAAATAGAAGTACAGTAAATATTGATGTTCAATTGCATGCAGGTTCACAGAATTTTGACAAGAACACAGTATGGCGAGAAGAGGAATCAGATTGGTAAAAATGAAGCAATCTTAATCAAAACTATTAATACTTTATGTTAATGACTAGCATTAAAAATTTGGGGCCCTTTACATCAGGTAGAGAAATATATTTTTGTCAGTCATTGAACAATAAGAATATTACCTCCTGCAGGGAATTTAAAGGTACATGTCAATTTTCTCTGATAACAGCAAGACTCTTTGAAGTATTCTCTTTTGTATTACTTTTAATTATTGATGTCAGCTTATTAAACTGATTTTGCAGTATATCGTGTATCACATTGACCACATTGTGTAAAGTGTGATCAGAAATTTATACTTACATAATGTAGCTGCATATCCTTGTCATTTATGCATCTCTGTAATATGATATTAGGCATTGGACGCTTAATTGGTAATGGATCTTACACTGCAGCTTATCCTTTACACGAGGTAAAAAATTAATTGCAAGTTTTGTTTTGTTTTGTTTTGTTTTTTGTCTTCAGTATAACAACTCCTTACTGTGAAACTTAAAAAGTGTCCAAGAAATTTACTATCAAAATGGTATAAATTGATGGATCACTGTAATTCACAATAATTTCTCTAGGTTTAAAAAATGAGCAGTTCCTGAATGATACCTTTAGAAGAGCAGATTATAAGCTTTGAAACTTCTCAGAATTTAGAGGGACTGAAAACAGAGACTTGAAGGGCAGTGGTGAACAAATTTAAGGGCTCTCATATTTGTATATGATTATTAAGTTTAAGGGCCCAAGAAGGCTGACATACAGTTATATCATGCAAAACTTAAAATTAAAAACCTTGTCTCCTGTCAGGGATTAAAGGGACATGAAAAAGCCAAACAAAGCTATATAGGTCATGGTTCATTTTCTGTAAGTGCACTCCATCTGGTTGAATGATCCCATGCAAGGGACTGGCCAGAGGAAAAGGAAACTACTGCATCAGTTTTCTCAGAGTGATTTGGAGTCTAATAATGATTTTTTCCTTGAATCAACAATTGTGTCAGGTTGCTTGAACAGGATTCAGCTAAATGTTGGCAAAGTTAGCCATGTGTTTTCTTGTCATTTATTTCAAAAATTTTGGAATAAAAATTCAATACAAAAAAGGAATAACATCAAACAACTACATGTCCATATGTTTAGTCAAATGAGAGTTGGACAATGGATGTCTTGATCCAGGGAACATTAAGCTTGTTGTACATGGGGAGCTATTCAGACTGATACATGTACATTGTACATGTATATAATGGTTATAGGACTAAGAGGAGTCCAATTCAGGCTGTAATTATTCAAGTGATAAACAAAATTGGATGATTGCACTGTGAAGGCATCCATTGTATCTTTTCATTAAAAAAAACAACAGTTAAATGGGCAAAATGTGAGACAACAGCATGCACATGTGACACCTTCTGTGCACTTACACAGGCATGGTGTGTTAACTGCCCTATTACACTGTCCAATTACAAGCATGATGTGTACACTGTCCTATTAGTGCTCAAACTGAGCTGGAGAATTCAAGAATTTTTTTATAGTTTTGATCAATGGAACCAGGGATTTTTAATGGCAACAAAGCATAATTGTACTTCAGGCCAATTTTCAGGGTATACTTTTTGCTCATGACCATCAAAATAATTCAATCAGACTTGAATGCACACTACATCTACACAAATCATGTTGTCTTAATCATATCTAGGACAACTGTGTGATTGTCAGTTGCTCATAACACACACAAAAAGTAATTTTTTAGCATTTTGAAACATGTTTTGTTACCTTCAAGTGTTGATGTTTCAAATTAAAGAGTTGCATTTGATTTTTTTTTTTACTGGAGAGAGGTAATAGAGATGGATTTGGCATATGATGAGCACACTG